CGATGAAAAGCTCTTTTCCATTCAAGAAAGACCTTGGTTTGCGGACATGGCAAACTTCAAGGCTGCTGGAGTAGTTCCAGAAGATTTAGATTGGAATCAGAGAAAGAAATTCTTCAAGGATGCATCTCATTTTGTTTGGGATGATCCATATCTATTCAAGATTGGTGCAGATGGTCTACTGAGAAGATGTGTCTCAGGGGTGGAAACTAAAGACATCTTGTGGCATTGTCATAATTCCCCTTATGGCGGACACTACAACGGGGAAAGAACAGCAGCTAAGGTCCTTCAATCAGGCTTTTATTGGCCCACTCTCTTCAAAGAAGCTTATGAGTATTGCAAGAACTGCGACAAGTGCCAAAGAACTGGGAACATCACAAAAAGACATGAATTACCTCTGCAAAATATTTTGGAAGTCGAAGTGTTTGACTGCTGGGGGATTGATTTTGTTGGTCCATTGCCCTCCTCATACTCCAATGAATACATTTTGGTGGCGGTGGATTATGTGTCAAAATGGGTTGAAGCAAGTGCTACACAAAAAGCAGATGCCAAGACCGTGATAAGGTTTTTGAAGAAAAATGTGTTTTGCAGGTTTGGAACTCCAAGAGTACTCATCAGTGATGGTGGTTCTCATTTTTGCAACACACAACTGAAGAAGGTTCTTGAGCATTATGGTGTGAGGCACAAGGTAGCCACACCATATCATCCTCAAACCAATGGCCAGGCGGAGGTGTCTAATAGAGAATTGAAGAAAATTTTGGAGAAGACCGTGGCAAGCTCGAGAAAGGATTGGGCCATGAAGCTGGATGATACTTTATGGGCTTATAGGACAGCTTACAAGACATCTGTGGGACTGACTCCATTTCAGCTTGTTTATGGCAAAGCTTGCCACCTGCCTGTAGAATTAGAGCATAGGGCATTTTGGGCCCTTAAGTCTTTGAATTATGACCTGAAGATGGCTGGTGAAAGGAGAAAACTCCAGTTGCATGAGTTAGAAGAGTTAAGGTTGCGGGCCTATGAGAACAACAAGATCTACAAGAGCAAAGTAAAAGCCTATCATGACAGAAAGATCTTGAAGAGAAAATTCCAACCAGGTCAATCAGTTCTCCTATTTAATTCAAGATTGAGGTTGTTTCCAGGTAAACTTAAATCCAAATGGTCGGGTCCATTTTTGGTTAAGACTCGTCAAATCATATGGGGCAATAGAACTTGAAGATCCCGGCACTGGGAGAACCTGGATAGTCAATGGTCGGAGGCTAAAACCTTACTTGGGAGGTGAAGTTGAGAGGCTCACCACTATTATACATCTAAAGTGACCGGAATCTTGTCAAGCTAACGACAATAACTTAGCACGTTTGGTTATTTTAGAACGTTTTATTATTTTATCAATGTTGTTTATTTTTGTCAATATATTTTAATTGTCTCAATGTGAGTATATGTCATATGTGTGATAGTTTGTGTAGTGTGGAGTGTTTAACAAAGGAAGCAAGCATGACAAAGAAGGGCAAATGAAAAGTTGAGTTGGCCGAGAGAACACTTAAATATCAAAAGAAAAGTTAAGCCTCCAGGAAATTTGCCCAACCTCTTTTAAATGCGCCCGACGGATCACCTCGGGTAAGTTTTTAAGAAATTTTTTTTCGCATTAAGCCGCTCGGCGCCAAGGGAATGCGCTCGGCGGATTGAGTTCAAAACATAGGGGTGCATGCGGCGCAAAATCCGCCCGAGCGCCTTTCACAAGCGCCTAGCGGATTTTGACCACAAAGGAATGGTTTGGTGCGGCTGCCAAATCCGCCCGAGCGCACTTGATATATGCGCCTAGCGGATTTTGGCCACAAATGGCTAGGTTGATGCGTCGCCAAATCCGCCCGAGCGCATTTATAATGCGCCCAGCGGATTTGGCTGAAAAAAAAAATTGAGTTTTTAAAAGGGATCCATTAATTTTTTCTCTCATTTTCACTCTCTTTTCTCACGCTCATCACTCAAACCCCAACTTCACCCTTTTCTTAACTTCATCTTCATCTTAAACTCCAATCTCAATTTCTCCTTCCATCCTCTCTTTCCCCTTCACATTCCCTTTCCCCTTCTCTTCTTCATTGCATTGTGTGAGCCTCTTGCCTTTTGTTGTTACTCTCCACAAGGTACACCCTCTTCTCTCCATCTTCTCACGCTTATCTATTTGTTTTTGGGATAGCTTTTGTTCTTTCTTTTGATTGTGAGCTGTTTTCTGGGAGTAAATGTGAGGGGTTGATGAGGTTATATGAATTATTGGAGGAAAATGAAGCATTGCCCACCAAGTGTTTGACTAATTGTTTCCATGTTGAACTCTCTTTCTCTCTTGTTATTTTACTGTTGTTTTGGTGAAATTTCTATTTAGGAATGATTGAATGGTGAGGGTTTTTGCATGAGTTGATATAAATGTGGGTAGGCACACCATGTGTTTGACTAAATGCTCATTTGAATCTTGTGCATATTTGGTCATCTGTATGTGTAGTGTTTGATGATTTTGTGGAATAGAAAGTAGTTTACGTGTGTATGGTCACATTACTTACCCAATTTGTGATTATTTGGTTTAGTGACTAGCTTACTTGTGTTAACATGCATCAAGTGTTTAATTGATTGAATGGGTAGCAAGTGGGTCTTTGTCTATTTTATTTGTTTACCAAGTGTTTGTAAAAATGCCAACATCAGTTTTGATAGTGCAAATAGGGCTCCACTCTCTTCTAATATGTTTAGGGGTCATAATGATGGGTTGTATGTGTGTTAATATCCTTTCGACTAACCCATGTCTCTCTGTTTTGCATCTAACCCCTTTTGCAGTTAATTTATTTCTTACCTCTTTGTAGCGTCATGTCAAAGAAATCCACTCACCAAATCCCCGCATCTAAGAAGCGGAAAGGACAATCTTCTTCCCAAGAAACAATTCCTGCTGATACTATGTCACTGTCATCGTTCATTTGGCAGCGTGGAAAATTTTTAACTAAAGAAAAACAACAGCGCTTTTTAGACATTGAGGGCAGAAAAATCTTAGAGGAAAGTGAAAGTGATCCTAGCAAAGATCTCATTGATTTGATGAAGTCAAAGATAAAGTCAAGGGTCAACTCTGCAGCAGTCAAACAAGTCACTCAGAAGAATGGAGTCAAGACTTAGGTGTCTTAACGAAAGCTTAGGTAAAACCACTTTACCTTTTCCACTCGCATAAAGCTTCTTCACTCAATTTGCAAAATGCCTCAAAAATAGTTTTAAACAAATCAAACAAAAGCATTTTGACAAAGAACCTTCTTAACAATGGTTTTAACTCGATATAGTTTTTTAA